AAAAATGCGTAAAGATCGTCGTTATCAAACTCAATTAAATGCAAATAAACGATGGTTATTTCGATCAATGGAAACACTTGATGGATGGAAAGAAAAAGTATTTTCACAAAAAAATCGTACAACTAAGTTTGTATTACAGAAACAAAAAAAAATAATCATAAAATAAAATCTTTCATTTAATAATTTTGTAAGTTCTAGTCAGTCACGATCACGTAGTGTAGAAAATTTAGCTGATAAACGAACAGCTGAAAATATATTAATAAATCATCGTCCATCAATAATAAAACAACAACAACAACAACAACAACGTACGACATCACCCAATCGAAATATCGAAACGATTACAAGTCATGCAATCAATAATATTGGTATTCAACGAAAACCGACAAATTCAATACCTAATGTTACACGAAATCCAGCATTAACTATTAAAAAACAATCATTATTAAATCATTTATCTAATGATCATAATAATCTATCACAACAATATAATAATAATGAAACAAATCCTTCAGCTATTCTTGATTTTCGTGAAATATCTTCTACTGGATTTTTACATTCAAGTAAATATGTATATAAAGAAATTTTGATTTTAATTTTTAATTGATTTTTTCTTTTTTTTAAGAAACAAGATTAAATGATGATAATGAAAATATTTCATTAACACCATCAGAAAATATTCTTAATAGTATGAATATAAGTGATGATGAAAATGATGAAATTACAAGTAATTTATCATTTTTAACTAATGCTTATGATCATATTAATGATAGTAATAATGAAACATCTGATCCATGGGATTTTAGTATAACATGGATTGATTCACTTAAAGAACAAAATTCACCTCAACGTAAAATTCAATTTTATGAAAATTTAATCAAATTACTTGAACAAGATACATTAAATATTGATGAATTACTTGTTTTACGTAAAATACTTGCAAAAATTTGGCCTACAAATGATATTAAAACAACAGATTCTAATAATCAAATATTTTCTATTGAATCAAAAACACATGCTACAAAATCACTTCATAATCCAAATAAAATTAAACAACGTCCTAAATTATCTACAATGACACATCATACAGCTCAACGATGTTCAACTATTCTCGAACAATCACAATTGATTTATGAATCATTACATGAACAAAATAGTGGTCATACAAGTAAACCATCATCTTTATTACTCGGTGCCAAAGCCAAACCATGTTTTATTGAAAATACTAATGAGTCAGTATCAAATCAAAAAGAAAGTTCTAATATCGAACAAAATTATCCTCAACATCTAAATCCATTCAATGATGAAACAGGTAAATAAAAGTCTTCAATAAGAGAACAAAAGAAGAAAAAAAAAACCAATGTATTTCTTTCATGGATAGATATTACACCATCAAATGAATCTGATCGTAATAATAATAATGATTCAATTCGTCGTTATTTTGAACGACTTACACTTCTTGAAACTATTTATGAAAAATTAAATCTTGAATCAAATAAAATACCATTAGGATCAACTAATCATAATCACCAACAACAAATTTCAACACAAGAAAATACCAATGAATTATCACCATCATCTTCACAAAAAAATCGTTCTGTTGAAAAACAAATACAAACAAAAGATGAAATTAAAAATCATTCACATATACATTCATCAAATAAATCAGGTAAAATTAAGTAAAAATAAATAAATATTCATTTATATTTTTATAGACACAAATAAAACAATTTTGAATAAATTCGTTGAAATGAATGTTGATGGAAATGGTAGTGTTAGTAGTGGAAAAAGTTCAATTAAAAGACGAGCACCAACTGCTCCACACATATCATTAAATGACAAAAAAAATCAGCATCATCCAAATAATTCCGTAAGTTCATAAAATTTCCTCAAGTATTATTACTCTTATTATATAACAAGACTTTAAAGAAGAAAAAAAAGTTACGAAACATTCTTCAAAGAAAATAATAAAAATCTTCAATATTATAAACTTATCAATCAGAATTGTATAATCATTTTATTTAACTAAATTGTATTTTATATAAGAAAAAAAAAATTTTTCTTTTCTAGAATATGTTTACTTTATCATCTGTTGATGTTAATTTAACACATAAAACTGATCAAGATATAAATAAATCTACACGATTTAAATCATATGATGAAAAATTTTCAAAACAAGAAATTAATTCAAAAGAAAGAATATCACAAGATACAGCGGCTTCATGTGATGATAATGGACATATTTTTGTTTATGATTGTAATTCAAATCAAACTCATAATCATAACAATCAAGAACAATCGAGTAAATCAAACATGTTCGATTTTTGAAAAACTATATATCTCGTTTCGTCTTTTTTTTTAAAGCTATATTACCACGAAAAACTGAACGTATTCAACAATGGTTATCATCATGTGAAACAAAAGAAGAATTAGATATGCAAAAAAATTTATTAATATTATCAAAAAATACTAGTCCAAAATCTCAATTAAAAATGCGTTGTAGTATAAAACCAATACGACAACAAAGTTCATCACCAAAACATAATCATGATAAAAATCTTTCAACAAAAATTAATAATGATGAATTCATTGAACCAGGCCGTTTTCGAAGTTGTTTAAAAATTCAACTTGAAAAAAATGAATCTACAACAAATTATCGAAGTCGAGCATCATCAGCTACATCAAAATATAATCAACAACAAAAACCAATTCCTGATGAAAATTTAAATGTTACAGATGATGATGATGATAAATATTTCGAACAAAATAAATTATCACCTAGTTTTCAATATGATCATCAAGCTGTATATCTTTAATGTTAGATATTATTACTTTTACTTTTTTTGTTTTATTCTTGCCTTTGTATATTTATATGTCAATTGACATTTTCTTTTTTTTTTTCAAATATACATATCTATACTTACATAGAATTTCTTTTTGTTTTTTTTTTCTATTAAATTTTCATACTAACCGACGAGTTTGATATATCGAACTTGATTGATGCGATATATCACATCAATTAAACCATTCTCTCTCTCCTCTTCTTCGCATCAATTAACAACTATCATTAATTGATGTGAATATATTAAACTATTCGAGAGTATATATCTACTGTATTAGTCGACAAAACATTACTTACGTTTACAAGTATCATTTTCTTATTAACAAGTATGCAACAATCTCAACCATCATCATCATCATCATCATATATGTATCCGTCATCTCCAACACCAAGTTTATCTGTTTATGATTCTGGTTATTCATCATATGATTATTCATCACCTTCAACATGTTCATTTCATCATTCAACATGTCCATATTCAAACAATGAATCGTTCTATATTCCTTCACAACCTTGTAAGTTTAAAATTCATACTAGAAAAAAAATATTTATTTTATTCATTTAAGATTTACCATACTATAGTCCAACCACGCATATAATGCCTCAACCTCCGCAACCATTTGCTAGTAGTACACCTGTTCAGTCAAGTAATGTATGTCTTGTCCCGTCCATTAAGGTAAGACTCTTATTTTTATTAATTTACATTGAATAATCATGGTCCGTGAGTATTTATTTTCGATGATAAGAATTCATTCTGGATTGTACATGAGTTAATTTTTATATTCTTTTTTAGAATTC